ACCTGTTAAGGTTAATTTTTAACTAATGACACATCAACAGGCAATGCACTACCCATCTAAGAGGAGTGCGAGGGGCACTCGCCTCCTGCACTCTCCGGTCAGCACTTTCACTTTTATTGGGCCACGTTATTCTGGTCGGCAAGAGGTTGGCCGGCGAAGTCCGGAACAAGCTTACGTGGTCCAATGAAAAGGGAAGTGTTGGCCGGAGAGTGCAAAAGGCGAGTGCCCCTTGCACGGCTCACCCATCTAATACCTCTCATTCTCCTTCTATATAAACCAGTACTCCACAACCCCACAAAATCACGTACCCTTCTCTCCCAATGGTCCCACCATGCCTTCTACAAGGTCACCTCCATCTCCATATTCTCCACATTATATCTCATGTACATTTCCAATCACTAAGAAACCATGAAATGTTCAAAATGAATAAATTAATGGTTCTAACTTGAATTTTTTTTTATGACTTGATCAGGTGGATAGGATCCTTCACTGGAACCCAAAACAGAGTCACCTTCGATAACCCCCGCAATAGTGAGTACAGCGCCCCAGTTCCCAACTCCTTCGAATGCTATGCCTGCAGCCAGGGGGTTGTTCCGGTGTTCCATTCCACCAGCTGCGACGGCACCCACCAACCCAAATGGGAGGCATTTGCTGGATCATCATTAGTGCCAATCCCAGCCCGAACCAAGAGCTGGAACCGATCCCGGCGCCTTCCCTGTGGTCCATTTGGGCGGCTCCTGGACCCGCGCAGCCTTCTGGTGAAGAGGTGGAACAGAGCTGTCGTAATCGCGCGCGGCCTCTCCCTGGTAATTGATCCACTATTCTTCTACGCGCTGACGCTGAACGTCGGAGACGACGGCGCCGCCGCATGTGTGACGTGGGAGAGAAGGTTGGGGGCCATCCTGACAGTTGTTCGCACTTGTGTTGACGCGTTTCACGTTTGCCACCTGTGGCTCCAGTTCAGCCTGCCGTACGTGTCGAGGGAGTCATTGGTTGTGGGGTGCGGGAGACTCGTGTGGGATGCACGTGCGATTGCCCTTCACTATGTTCGCTCCTTCAAAGGATTTTGGTTGGATCTTTTTGTCATGTTGCCAATTCCCCAGGTCAGTAATTTTAATTGTGGGGATGTTTGTTTGGCCTTTTTATTAATGTTGTCTAAAATTTTTTTAAAAGGTTAATTACGTATTTTTATATATTATAATAAAAAACAGTAAAAATAATATTTATTACTCTTAAGTAGTAAAGTTTTTTTTATATATATTTTAAAAAAAAGTTTCATTATAATTATCTTTATGCTAGATTTATTTAACTATTCTTTTAATTAAAATTTTTGTATCAATTTTTTATTAAACACAACAAAATTAATACTCTAATAAAATTTTAACTTTTTATGCAATTCTTTCCTAATAAAATTTTTCGTTATAAAGTCGCGCTATAACCCAAAAAGGGCCTTAGTTACCTAAATTGTTAGATTTTCTAGATTTTTCTTTGTGTTCCAATATGGATTCATTGAATTTTACCATATATATGTAAATTAATTTAATGGCACTTGGGTTTCACGGCACAATGGCTATAAGTCAACATCTAAAGTGCATTCCCTAACCCTTGGATTGGGGTTCAAATCCCCTTACTCCAAAATTGTAAACTTATCAAAAAAAAATTAATGATTTTATATAGCAATTGAAAAACAATTTGATGTAATTGAAATTATTAAAAAAAACTATATATAAAAAGGATATTTTTATTTTTTAACTTTATGCAAAAATTATATTAAGAAAACTTTTCTTTTTTGATGAGAAATTAGGAAGATTAAATCAAATTAGAGAGAGCAATGAATAATAATAAGAAGGTTGAGGTTTAGTTAATTCGTGATTGGGCTTTACAAGCACAGTATATGCATAAGCACAGTATATGCATAAGCACAGTATATGCAAGATTGAGGAATGCCTAAACTTGAGATTGTTACAATTTAAGGATCCACTACGTGAAATTTAGATACCAAAATATAATAAATTAACATAAACTCATACATATAAAAATTTGAAATTAAAGATCTTAATTTTGAACTCATATGAAAGTCTATATAGGATATAGGTAGCCCATGTTCTGAAAAATGATTTCAGTTTCCTTGGTGATCAGCTGCCCTTTAGTGGCAGTAATAAAATGACAGAAGTAGAGATTAATTTGTGCTTTACGTGAGATTGAAGGATAAAAATTGAATTTGTTTTTTCTTTTGGCTGAAGGCTGTACATGGCATGTTGATCTTCACTTTAAAGTGAATAACAGTCTTAAGTGCATCATGTCTGACGCTTTCTTGCAGATGGTATTGTGGTTGCTGGTACCCAAATTGCTTGGAGAAGAGCGGATTAAGCTGAAAATACTTCTCTGGATATTTCTGTTCCAATACCTCCCTAAGTTTTACCATAGCATTTATTTGATGAGGCTAATGCGAAAAGTTACTGGTTTCGTCTTTGGTTCCATCTGGTGGGGTTTTAGCATTAATCTCGTTGCTTATTTAATTGCTTCCCATGTAAGTCCTACTCAAATATTTATATATTAGCTTTAATTGCAACCATTTCCAATATCACAAAACTCACCTCATCTAATGGTCTGAATTGTATAATACAAATTGCATGACACTTTTTTTTTTAATCGTATTGTATTATAATCATTAATGATCTTGGCGGCATTCATGTTCCATTTACAGGTCATTGGAGGATGTTGGTATCTTCTATCCATTGATGGTGTTGTTTCATGCCTCCAACAACAATGTGAAAGAAAGCGCAATTGTGATCTGTCATGTGGGGGGAACTCATCAACAATTATAAACTCAACAATGTGCTTGGATCGTGAAGGACCTTTACAATTTAAGTTATATGTAAACGCGCTTCCTATCCTTTCTACCGGCAATTCACTAGCTGTTCGGGTCCTTTATCCCGTGTACTGGGGCCTAATTAACCTAAAGTAATCTGAACAACTTGAAAACTTCATATTTGCCTTACAGTTTGATGATATGTTAACTTTTTGCTAATGTTTAGTTGTTTGGCAGTACTTGGGGCAATGTGCTTATTCCTTCAAGTGACTTGATAGAAGTAATATTCAGTATATTCATTGTTGTCTGCGGTCTGTTGCTGTTCACTATTTTGTGCGGAAATATTCAGGTAATTAAGTGATGAACTTGATCACTGTTATCGAAATGTTTTTATACTTAGTACATTGGGACAAGAGAGGCTAACAAATACAGAGTTGTTATTGGTTTATAGTTATTTTTGGAAGTAGTCTTGAAAAACAAGGAAAAAATGGAGTTGAGACATCAAGATATTGAATGGTGGATGCGGAGGAGGCAGTTGCCATCAAAATTAAAACAGAGAGTACGCCATTTTGAACACCAAAAATGGGAAACAATGGGGGAAGAAGAAGAGCTGAAATGGATTGATGAACTGCCTGATGGACTGCGTCGGGACATCAAGCGTTATCTCTGCCTAGATCTAATTAAAAAGGTACATGAGCTCCGTTTCTCTTGTAAGGACATGTTTGTGAAATGCAGCTCATCATCAATAATCCAGTCTTTCTAAGTAAACTTCATTATTTTTCTAAGGTACCTCTCTTCCTTACATTGGATGATCTTATCCTTGACAACATATGTGATCGCTTAAAGCCCTTAATTTTCTCCAAAGGTGAAAAGGTGCAGTCAGAATTGTACCCCACAAGAAAGTTATGTAATGTATTCTGTTTCTTCTTTTAGCCTGCAGCAAATTAAATGTCTTGTAAATTTATCAATCTCGCAGTTGATCCAGGAAGGGGATCCAGTGCAAAGGATGATGTTCATAGTACGGGGACGCGTCAAACGTTGCCAAGGCCTCGGCAAAGGCAGGATAGGCGCTAGTGGACTGGAACCTGGCAGCTTCTTAGGCGATGAACTCCTTTCCTGGTGCCTTCGCAGCCCATTTACTTACCGCCTTCCAGCTTCATCTGCAACATTTACCTGTACTGAACTCACAGAGGCATTTGGTCTTGATTCTGATGATCTTCTGTACATCACCAGTCACTTCAAGTACAAATTTGCGAGCAGGACACTGAAGAGAACAACAAGATACTACTCATCCAATTGGCGAACATGGGCAGCGGTGATCATACAACTTGCCTGGCGCAAGTACTGGATAAGGACTAGAGGGCCATTGGTTCCAAGCAGAAGTAACGGTGGCACTGAGGGTAGGCTCAGGAGGTATGCTGTAATGTTCATGTCACTGCGGCCTCACGATCACCTTCAGTAAGATGCAAAATGGAAAATGCTTCAGTATATATAGTTGGTGACATTCAAAATTAATTTGCAATAAGGTCTAGGTTTCTCTGAAACTAAACTATTACCCATGGAAGATACTGGAATTGGGGAATTGAATATACCAAACAACACAGTTTGAAAAAGTTAAATATTTTGAGAACTTTGCTGTGCCAGAGAATGTAATTCAAGTATTTTTTTTTTTCTTGGGGAATTACATTGAAAATTAGCTTGCTTAGTTTGGATTTAAGCCCTTTAACCTTAGTCTTTGTAAAACTTCCTTTCCCTCCCAAAATTCTCTTGTAAAAAAATAAAACTAAAACAAAAGTTTCGAAATAATAAGGTTGTACTATCATGATTAATCGTGTGTTTTTCGATTCGAAATACACTAAATTATAAATAAAAGAGTAATGATGGAGTATAAAAAACTAATGGTAGAAAAAATGAAAACTTGAAATGAAAATTTAGAATTAATAGCCAACTATCTAAATATCTCAATGATTATTTTTTTTTTATTAAAAGTAAGAGGTTCTAAATTCGAATTGCATGACATACGGGTAGAGTAAGATAACTGATAGAGATGATTGTATCTCATTATGCAATTAGGATAAAAAAAATTTTAAATTAATAATGTGATATAAATTATATTAGTAAATTAATTAATATATATAATATCATGAATTTTAAAATATTAAAAAAATTAAACATTAAATAATATAGAGTTTATCATTTAGTATTTTAAATGATTCGTCTTATATTTTAATATCAATTTTTAGTCTCATTTATTATTATTTTAAATAAATCCATGAGGATAATAACTTCAATATTAAAAACTTACTTTTTAATTAATAATTTAAGTTGTATAATTCAGTACAATTTAAATTGTAAAATAATTCTTTTATTTGATTAAACCTTTAGATGTATATGTATGAAAAAAATGTATATCAGTTTTAACTTTAAAAATAAATTAAAGTTTTAATATTAAATTATGTCATTTTATTTAATTAAAAATCAATTCAAAATTTAAAAATCTATTTTATTAAATATTGATATTTAAAATTAGAAACTAATTATATTCAATATTAATATTTAATAAAATGAATTTTTAAAATTTAAATTGATATTTTAATTATTAAATATAAATTGAGATTTATTTTTTTCAATCAAGTTTAATGTACACTCATATAGAGAGAGAGAGAGAGAGAGAGAGAAAACTCTTTCTTTTGAAAGTTTTCAGATGTGGCGTTCATTGTTGTTTCAATTTAGTTCATGTCAGCCTTATATGGGCTCCATTAACGGTAGAATAACGTTTTCCGTTCAACAAATAAAATAATACAAGCACAAGACAGATTCAAGTCCTCAATTGGAAAAATATACAGTT